TTTGGTAGAGACAAGGTCTCACTATGTTGCCCGGGCTCTCCTCAAACTTGGAAGCTCAGGTGATCCTCCTGTCTCAGCCCCCTGAAGTGCTGGGATTACTGGTGTGAGCCATTGCATCCAGCCAGGAGACACAAATTTTTAAAGTAAGTAGTCCTCAGATGTACTGACTATTCTGTTGCCTCTTAATATACGGATGAGGAATGTCATCATGCATAATACTAAATCCTGGCTCTGATCACTTATATTAGCATATATAATACACTGAAAATGCATTCATAGGAATAGATTTTGAGGACAGGAAAAATAGTAAAAAAAAATAAAATTTGTAAAATTATTAAATTTTTAAAAATTAAAGAAAAAAGAGAAGAAAATGCATTCAATGATGTCACAAAGACAGAAAATGGCTATTTCACAAATGACACTAGCAAGACCAGCAGTAAGTTGCCTAACATTTAACTAACCATTTTTCGGTGGACTGCAATGATGTATCCTGCAAAGGGGCTGTCAGGAAGAGATGGCATATGACCATTAACCATCCCGTTTGTAAAGTTCTTCTCAGTTCCACATGGCACAACAGTGTTTGGCATTCCGTTGGGGATGAATAGTGGTCGGGGCAGGTCCCCGTTGGTAGTTAGGGTGAACATTCCATTTGTAGATGGCGAAGAGGAGAAATCTACAAATTCAAAGATAAGTACAGCATCATAAGCTTACGGTACTTTCTTCTTTGCTCTGAAGCATCCTGAGAACCAGTGACAGTGTAGTCTCTTAACCCAGGGCAGGAAGAAATTATAGTACAAATAATTCTAGATTTATTGGAAGATTTTAATTTCCAATTTAACTTCCTTAATTCCTACTTTTGACTAAATGAAAAGGAAAGAGTAACCGCTGCAAACTATTAAGCAGAATTTTTGCAGAAACCTGTATCAGCACCATGTTGCAGCACACAAACAGTTCTACCACTTGTTTTCTTTTCCTTCTCTTTGCCTCTGAAGACACTGTCCAATACAGTAACTTCTAGCCAGACGTTGCATTTAAAATTTAAATTAGGCTGGATGTGGCAGCTCACATTTGTAATCCTAGCACTTTGGGAGGCTGAGGCAGGCAGATCCCTTGAGCCCAGGAGCAAGAGACCAGCCTGGGCAACATGGTGAAAACCCATCTCTACAAAAGATACAAAAATTAGCTGGGTATGGTGGTGCACGTCTGTAGTCCCAGCTACTTGGGAGGCTGAGATGGGAGGATTACTTCAGCCCATGAGGCAGAGGCTGCAATGAGCCAAGATGATGCCAGTACACTCCAGGCTGGGTGACAAGAGTGAGACCCTTTCTCAAAATAAATAAATAAAACAAAAATGCATCCTCTCAGTTTCATTAGTCACATCTCGAATGCTTAACAGTCCACGTGACTGGTGGATACTATATTGGATGGCAAAGGTCACAGAAGTTTCCATCACTGCAGAGTTCTATTGGACAGTAATACTCTAAACTAAAACCAACATTAAATCATCCACCAACTTACTGTCAGGACTATCTACCTACTACATGCCAAAGAAGGAAGCCTCATAAAGCCCTTTATGGTTGGGGAATTAGCCTAATTAACCTAATTGTAAGCAATATAAAGAATAGACAAAGCATACTAGTGGCTAAAAGGACTCAGTAAGTGATCACATTAAATTACATAGAATATTGGATTTCTTTTTAGCTATATCTATTGTTTACATTTTATGGTAGTATGTTCCTTTCATACTAGCTGTTGCCCTGTTAGTATTAGATAAGAGTTTAAAGAGATCTGAATTCCAAGGGTATATTAGCTAATAATTATCTAACTAAAGTCACTTGGGTTCTTTAAATTTTAGGTTTCTCATCTAAAAAATATGGAATAATCAGTAAGGTTTCCCTTGGGTTCCAAAATTCTTCTGCTATAATATTCTCAGCATGAACAAATATAAAAAAGATGACAACTCTTAGACAAATATTTAAAGGTGCAATCACGAGAAGGAGTTCTAGTTCTATCTTACCTGTCTGTGTTGGACTAGAAGCTGAAATTGGAGATGCAGGGACAGGAATTTCAAATGCACACAAAAATCCACTCACTGAGAGTCGCACTTTTTGGTTGTCCTGAGGAAAGTTCTACAGAAACAGCAGCAAGATGAGAAGGGGAGATGTTTCAGATAAAATGGAAAAGTTCTCTCTCTAATGTATTTCAAAAGAATGTCTTAGATGCTTTCATCCATAAACCAACAAGATGATTGAATAGTTTTTCAATTATATAAAGGATGAATGCTTGATAAAAATAACTGAAAACTAACCTCAATGTCAAACTATTATCTCTTTCTACAGGAAGAAGTGTGTTGTATATGACCAACTTCTTAAGTTTTGTCCTTCCTTTCAAGAATCTAAATTCCAACCCTCAGACCTCATTTTTGCATTTCATATTAAGAAAATGTCAATGAGGTGGGAGTGTGTTCAGAAGTCCCAAAGATGAATATAAATAATACCAGTTGCAGGAGCTTAGGCAGATATAGGCAATATATTTATTAGATTATTTGTTTCCCCAGCTGGTATGTAGAAAGACATGATTGGTGTTAATTTGTCTTTAATCTTTTAATTTCTTAGTGTGTTAAAAGACCAAGTATATGTATTGATAAATACTAAAAACACACATTCATAAATACATAAAATACAGGTTTTTTTTTTTTTTTGTTCAGATTTTATGTTTTATTATCTCTCTTGGTCACTTAACAACTGATCATAATAACTAAGAAAACTGTCATCTTTGAAGGACAGAATAAAAAGTTTCTTAGAAAGATTAGTTAATACTACCTTTATGTTGGAACCATGTACTTCTGCTAGAAGGATTTGTTCTGAATTAAGTCCACAGAGATCGCTCAGCTGTTTTTTTAAACCTGTGTACTTTTCATCCATATTCAGTCTTAGTCCATACCGTACAGGAGTAGTACCATCTAACTTAATTACTAGTAAAGAGAAAAGATCTTTTATCAGTAAAATACAGGTTTCACTGAAAGTCTTACATGCTGTGTACAGATATATCTGACCTGTAAATATAATTGCAAATATTTCAGCCTAGAATTTTTATGTATAAACACTAAAACAGATGGTACTTAGGGATAATATTGAGTGAAATCAGTATTTTTTTGGTGTTCATCTATGAGTAGCTTTGCAGGGTTTTAAAGAGCATTTCTGGCATGTTTGAAACCAAAAAAAAAAAACATGCCACAATCTAAATCTTCCAAACCTCAAGTCATGCCTAAAATTAGGTTGCTTGATTATAATATGCTGACCACCTACCAGTCTTTATTTGTAAACAAATAACTATGCTTACAAACTCAGGCTATTTAAATAAAGTAAATTTAATGGAGTCAAGTAAGTTTTCAGAACTTTGTGACCTACCTGTTATTTCTAAGTGCATATAACTGTCCATTGGTAGTGGCAAAGACAAAAAATTGAAAGGGTCAAATCGGACACTTATATGCCCACACGTCTTGCATTTAACTTGAGATCTTAGCTGCCCATGGAACAAATCCACAACAATTGATCTATTTCTTCTTAGATGGTTGTCCCAGGCCTAGCAATAAAAAAGATTACAGAATTTCCTCTCAAAATCCAAAAGAGAAGCATTTCTATATAAATTCAAAGAAACCGGTTAAATATATTGGATTTAATTGTTAAGAATATAATCCTATTCTTTATTTAACATAAAATATTAAATTGAGACGGAAATCCCATTTTTCATCTGTTCTTATCATGGTAACAATCGTAAATATTAAAATTCTTTGTCCATTAAAAAGTACAAAGCATGCCTATATGTCATTGTATGCATTAATTTAGCAATAATAGGGACTCTTTTTTCTTCCCCCAGATGGAGTTTTGCTCTTGTTGCCCAGGCTGGAGTGCAATGGCATGATCTCAGCTCACTCCAACTTCCATCTCCCTGGTTCAAGCAATTATCCCGCCTCAGCCTCCCAAGTAGCTGGGATTATAGGTGCCCGCCACCACGCCCAGCTAATTTTTGTATTTTTAGTAGAGACAGGGTTTCACCATGTTGGCCAGTCTGGTCTCCAACTCCTGACCTCAGGTGATCCATCCACCTCAACCTCCCAAAGTACTGGGATTACAGGTGTGAGCTATGGCACCTGGCTATGGAGACTCTTTAAATTCCACTGGATAATTATTCCTACATCCAGTCCCATAAAGTTTACAATGTGAAATGGCAACAGTTTTCTATTTTCATTAAAGGTGTTTTTGTTTTGGTATCATTGCATAAGAATTAAGCATAGAAATAGAAATGCCTCATTTTCACCATAAAATTCTGATCTCAGAATAGTTTAGTTTGCACTTAAGTTGTGCTACATGTATTTGTGGCCAGAACATTTTGTCTACTGCTTACATTAGAAACTCAAAACTGACAAACCTCTGCAGCTACTTCCCAGTCTGGTCGGCCATCACTGTCCTTTAGTTCCACATATGGCTTTTCATGGACTCGGTTGAGATCTTCATGAAGACCATCCAAGAGAAAAGCCAGAAGTTCTTGGGAGTCTTGTTGCTGGAACCCATTAAACCTGGGTGCATATTTTGCTATGGTCCACTATAAATATAAGAGGAGTCACAGTCATTATTTCCTATCCATAAAATTTGGAATGAATACGTCCTATAATCCAATCAGAGGCATTACAAGAAAGTAAATAGTATACTACTTAGTCTGCCTCCATTTCATCAAATATATTTTGGATAATCAGGAAATCTTTGGAATCTTAATCTCAAATGACAAAA